GGGTCAGCTTGCTCTGCTGGCTCAGGGCTTCCAGGGCACCGGGCATCTTTGCTGTGGGAGCGGGCGGCGTGGGAGCCAGGGGGTCTGCGGAGAGAGGAGGGGACGGGGAGACACAGAGGGTCACGTCCAGGCGTCACGCCCGGCCTTCCCGCGGGCCTCTTCCATCAGCGCTGCGTCGCTATTTCGCAAAGAAAAGCCCGTGTTCACTGCATGGTGAGGCGCTCCCTGTGCCGGCTGCCCAGCTGCGAGGGGCAGGACGAGGCTTGGCCTCTACGCTTTACAGATGAGGAGGCCGCATCCTGGGCGGGACATGTGTTCTCCCAGGGTCACCGAAGGGAAGCACGGGGGTGGGCCTGGAGCCCCCGCCCCCCAGCTGCCTGAGGAGGCAGCGCCCCTCTCCCTGGACCACAGAGGGCGAGGCCCGGTGATGCAGGAGGAGTCGGCCGAGAGGCTGCCTCTACCGTACTTACTGTTCACTCCTGGTTCCTCTGCTTCAAAGGGAAAGTCAAAGGCAGACTCTAGCGTCAGCCCACAGCCCCAGGACCTGCCATGTCCCCCTGGCATGTGACTCAGGCGTGTCTGAGCTGGACGCCCTTGTCTGCCCCCCAGGTTCTGGGAGACCCTCCCAGGCAGCCCTACTCAGCCGGCAGCGACACACCTAGGCCCTGCCCGTGGCTGGCGGGCATCCATCGTAACCGAGGCCAGTCCCAGGGAGACCGGGGAGGCTCCCAAGGCCCCGAGAGCAAACCAGGGGCCGAGCCCCCCTCCCATGGCCAGAGCCGAGCCCTGGCCGGCCGCCCTGACCCAGGAGACCTCCTGCTTTGCTGCTGGAGAAGACCCTCTCCCGGCCCCTCCCCTGGTTCGGAGGGCGAGGCCCGGTGACGCAGGAGGAGTCGGCCGAGAGGCTGCCTCTACTGTACTTACTGTTCACTCCTGGTTCCTTTGCTTCAAAGGGAAAGTCAAAGGCAGACTCTAGTGTCAGCCCAGATCCCCAGGGACCCAGACCCAGGCAGACCATAGGCTCCCAGAAGATCCCAGTGCCCCCAGACCTGCCGGCGCCCCCTGGCATGTGAGTCAAGTGTGTCTGAGCTGGACACCCTCTCCCCCCCAGGTTCTGGGAGACCCTCCCAGGCAGCCCTGCTCGGCCGGCAGCCACACCCCTAGGCCCTCCCGTGGCTGGCGGGCGTCCATCATAACCGAGGCCAGTCCCAGGGAGACCGGGGAGGCTCCCAAGGCCCTGAGAGCAAACCAGGGGCCAAGCCCCCCTCCCACGGCCAGAGCTGAGTCTGGACCGGCCGCCCTGACCCAGGAGACCTCCTGCTTTGCTGCTGGAGAAAACCCTCTCCCGGCCCCTCCCCTGGTTCTGGGACGGTCACCCACGTGCTGACATGGAGGAGAAACAC